TTTACAGGCTGATATTGATGCAAACTTTAACAATAAAATATTAACAATCAGAATTAGCAGAAAAACTAGAGTTATACATCATAACTAAGTGAAGTTCCCAACAATAATGCAATAAATATTCAGTATTTGGAAATATATTAATATAGTAGGTCATTTTAATATATCAGAAGAAAATTTACATAATTATCATTAATAATAAAAATACATTGGAAAATAATTTAATAGTGATTTGTGGTAAAAATTAGGTGTAATTAAAGTCAGAATAGGTATAGAACTTGAATATATTCTAAAAATATTTATTTAAAAATGCTAAATGCATTCTTGTTAAATTTAACAAGATAATGATATTTACACCACTATGAATTAAAATTATTCTGAAGTTATTAGGCAATATAAACAAATAAGATAAATGAATAAAATGGAAAGAAGGTACAGTATTATCATTAGTAACATACGGTATATAGGAAACCTATGAATCAATTGAAGAAATAATATAGACAATAACAAAATTTTGTCAGATTTCTGGGTTCAAAATTAAGGCTGTCAGATCAAAAGTTGGAGAAAAATCACATTTACAAGAGCTTCAAAAACATGTGTCTAGAAACAAATTTATAAGAAATGAGCAAGATTTGTGTGAGGAAAACTTTCAAATGCCATTTAAGGCTATATATAAATCTTTATATTGCAAAGATGTTAACTTCGATGCATTTTAAAGTTATGTGACCACAGGTATTTTTTTTTTTTTTTGAAGGAGTATGTGGTGAAAACACAAGCTCATTCAAGAGTTAATGTTTCCAGCTGTTTGCAGTGGCTCATGCCTATAGTCTCAGCACTTTGGGAGGCTGAGGCAGCAGGATCACTTGAACCCAGGAGTTTGATAGCAGCCTAGGCAACATAGGGAGATCCTGTAGCTACAAAAATAAAACCAATTAGTCAAGTGTAGTGGTGGATGTCTGTGGTCCCAGCCACTCAGGAGGCTAAGGCGGAAGAATTGCTGGAGCCCAGGAGGTCAAGACTACAATTAGGGGTGATTGTGTCACTACACTCCAGCCTGGGCAAGAGCAAGATCCTGTTTCAAAAAAAGGAAAAACGTTCATGTTTTCAATGCGTATGAAATTGAAATGTAAGAGGATGAATTAACGGGTGGGACTAGGAATACTACATACTAAAACACATTAAAAATGGAAACAACAGTGGTTAAGCCATTTGTCTTAGTGTATGAGTATTTAAACATATCACTAGCACAAACTAGAGAATCTAGAAATAGACCTAAATATATTTAAAGCTGCTAATATCTGTTAAAGTCAGGTTGGCACATTGTGGGAAAAAGATGGATTGACTGAGAAATGGTTACTATTAATTTCTATTAAAATATTAATTTCTATTTCTACTGATTCATAACAAAATAAATTGAAGGTGAGTAAAATAATTTAAATCACAAAATTATTAAATCCCTCTACTACCACAGTGTAATGTAAGTGCATCATATTAACAGGAATCTTCACTTGGTAAAGCTGTAATAAAAAAATAAATTTAGCTTTATTAAAAATTCCAGTGTTTCTGGATAGAAAAAATTATAATACCAATATAAATAATAGATACATATTTGTGACACATATTAGTAAATGATTCTTTTCCATAATCTATAAAAAGCATCTACAGAACTTCTGGAAACTTATCGTGCAATACAAATCTGGATAAAGACATGAACAAACAGTTCAGAGAAAGAAAATAAAAATTAGCCTTAACCATGATGCTTAATATTTTTTGTAAGAATAAATATATGAATTAAATATATAATATACTATTTTTCTGCTATCAGAATCTACAGTTCGTTGGTAGGGGATAGGAAAGACAACATTCTCATGTACTTACTTTGATGAGAGTGAGCATTACTTGGTGGTTACCATAACAAATTGCCAAAAGTTTGGTGGCTTAAAAAAAATTCTCTCTTCTGGTAACTGCTGACATACCTGGACTAGAGGCTGCATCACTTCAGTTTCTGCCTCGAGGTTCACATTCCATCTTCCTCTTCTGTGTATGTTGTATCTTTCTTGACTAGGGAAAATTGTGATGTCATTTAGAGACTCCTGTACCTTCAAAACCTTTATCTTAATCACATCTGAAAAGGCCCTTTTTCTATATAAGGCAACATTCTTGGGTTCTGGGAATTTGTGTGAGGACTTGTCTCTGGAAACTATGATCAGCCTGCGACAGACTATTAACTGAGAAAACATATCTGTAGGGCCATATCTATGTAAACGAAAGTCATGGCATTTTTGACATAGTAATTACACTCTGAGCAAAAGGAGGTGAATACGAAGATGTTTAGTATATCATCATTTATTGAAGAAAAAAATACACGCAAAAAATAACTGTTCCAGATAGGACTAAAAAACACTATAGTATATCCTAGCTATTCATTTTTTGTCAGTTATTTTTGTGGTAAATACATTCGGTTTATGATTTGTTTTTTTAAGATGTGGTGTTAGGAACAGAAGTTCTTAATTTTAATATAGTCAAATTTATCAATCTACTTTTGAATTGTCCTTTTAAAGCTTTATTTAAGAAACACTTTATTTTGATGTCTTAGAGGTATCCTGCTGTATTTCCTTATAAAAATTTTAAACTTTCACTTTGAAATGTACATCTTAGATTCACCAGGAATTGTTGTAAAGTGTGTGGAAGCAGTTGAGATCCTGGCTTTGTTTTCCTTTAAACCTTTTGTACCATCCTTAATAAGTGCATCCTTTTCACACTGATAATTTATGTTACATCTGTGATATTTTTCAAATTTACATATTGGCATAGGGCTGTTTCTAAGATCTCTATCCTGTTCCTCTAAAAATTTACGTATACCTGTAACAACTCCACATTATCTTAGTAATTTTTTTTTTTTTTGGAGATGGAGTTTCGCTCTTGTCGCCCAACCTGGAGTGCAATGGCGCGATCTCGGCTCACCGCAACCTCCGCCTCCCGGGTTCAGGCAACTCTCCTGCCTCAGCCTCCTGAGTAGCTGGGATTACAGGCACACGCCACCATGCCCAGCTGATTTTTGTATTCTCAGCAGACACGGGGTTTCACTATGTTGACCAGGATGGTCTCGATCTCCCGACCTCGTGATCCACCCTCCTCGGCCTCCCAAAGTGCTTGAATTACAGGCGTGAGCCACCGCGCCCGGCCCAGTAATAATTTTTTTATAATAAACCTGGAAAAATACTGAGACAAAGGCCCTCACATATTTTTGCTATTCAGAAACATCTTAGCTTTCCTTATCTCTTTCTTCTACCATATAAATTTTAGAATTGGTTTGTCGTTTTTTTTTGTAAAAACTAGTTTGAGTAAAATGAATTCTTTACAATATTGAGTCTGACTTTCCATTAACATAGTATGATTTTGTGATTCTTTTTTGAGTCTTAAATAATGTCTTAACTTAGTAACTTAAATAATGTTTTAAAATTCTCTATTTAAAGATCATAGTTATCCTTTATCAGGTAGTTTTATTTTTTGTTACTCTCCAGTTTAAAAAATATATTTTTTGCTTGTTTCCACAAATAAAATGCATAATACATTCTTATACTGATTTTAGATCTAGCAATGCTGTTAACCTTTGGTGGTAATTTTTCTGTAGATACTTTAAGGTTTTTAATATAGATAACAAGATCACGTGTGAATAGTAGAAATTGTCTTAATTTTTCCAAGTCTCATATGCATTATTTCCCTTTTTCTCTATGCTCTGGAATTTCTAAAATATTCTAAAATAAGATTGGAAAGATGATTTTGAGATATAAACTTATGTCTCAATATATATTTGTGAAATTTATATATATGGATATATAAGTTCTATTTTAAAGTCCGATTTATTGGGGTATATTATACATGCAGTAAATTTACTTTTTTTTAAGGCTTAAAATGTATTTTAATAAGTTGATGCTGCATTACTGTTCCGTTTCTCAGAAAAACCCCAAATTTATCAGACAAATCAAACACTGTACCAATGAAAAAATGCACAGCGTGACTACCTAAGAGAGGCAAGTCTAAGAGCTACTGTCAGACTTTCAGCATGCAGCAACCCTGTTGCCAAGATTGTACTAGGCCTATCAAGAAAAGCTGTGAACAGTAACATCACAGACAGAAAAGGGTCATTCCTGGGCATCCTCACCCAAGAAAAAGATGGAGGCAAGTTAACACAAGACGTATATATTTTAGTATAACACAAGATATACTAAAACGAAAATGTCTAAGAGAAAATGTCTTCTTTCAGACGTGAAGGGGTAATATATGGGATATAACACAACCGTATGTCCGTTGCCTGTGACCTTTGTGGACTGCCTGGGAGTGAATGGAGCAATGGGGCTAAGGTCATTGGGGGATGTTTGGTTTTTGTTGTGTACGTGGCAGTTTCTCTGGAGCTGGGGCAGTGTTAAAGATAAGAAAGCAAATGAGGCTGGGCACAGTAGCTCACGCCTGTAACCCCAGCACTTTAGGAGGCTGAGGAAGGTGAATCACGAGGTCAGGAGTTCAAGACCAGCTTGGACAAACTTGAACGCGGGAGGCGGAGGTTGCAGTGAGCCAAGATCGCACCACCGCACTCCAGCCTGGGTGATAGAGACTCTGTCTCCGGGTAGAGGGAAGCAAGCAAATGAAACAAGATGGACAAAAGAAAAGAAAAAAAAAGAAAAACAAAAACAAAGAACCTGAAATGTTCAAGATTAATGAGCTCTAACTGGATCAACTTTGCCATGATTTCCCCAGGCGCTCAGCAATGACATTTGAGACTTCAAGAATGCACCACACAGAACCGATTAAACATTATACCACGCATGATTTACTTATACCACCCCTCCCTTGCCCTCTGCCCCAGCATACTCCCTATAGCACAGGTAGGGTAGATCTAACTATTGAAACGAATCCCTAACACTTTTCCAGGGTAGAATTCTGGCTAGTCCAAAAAGGGTCCTGCTTTTAAGGGTTTTGAGAAACTAGACCCTGCAACTTCATTAGCATCGGCGACGTTTGTTTGGAGCGAATTCAGCTCCAGGAGCTGCAAGCAGGTTGAATGCAGGAGAAGTTCCACCAGTTGCCCCAGTTCCTTCCATTGCAGCAGCCTGACCAAAGCGTTCAGTTGGTGGGGTCAATCCCAAGGTTCCATCCGGCATCATAGTGGCAGGTCCTGGAGAAGCTGGGGTGCCAGCTGGCACAGGAGCAGGGGGCATGACGCCTCTGTTGTTTATGCCCAATGGCACCTCCCACAGCCATCTGACTCATCCGAATCTCCTGCTCTCTCGCATCAGGGAAGGTTCCCTTGAATCCTTCCTGCTGTCGCCGCATCATTTCTTCACGGGCCGGCACTCTTCCTCCTGCCTGAGCTCCAGCTGCATCATTTCTTCACGGCGCCTGAGCTCTTCCTCCTGCCTGAGCTCCAGCCGCATCATTTCTTCACGGCGCCTGCGCTCTTCCTCCTGCCTGAGCTCCAGCAGCTTTCGTTTCTGCACCTCTTGATCATGCAGCTCTTCCATCCTCCGAAGTTCTTCTCGGCGCCTCATCAAATCCTGTGTCATTAGCATGACCTGGTGCCCAAGGCCTGCAGCCTCCGTCTCCATCTCTAGCTTCTCACGCGCCTCCTTGATGTTGCGGTCCGCTTGGTCCTGCTGCTGCCGCTTCTCCATCCCGGTGAGTGCCCTCCGGCGCATGGCATACTCATACTCGGAGGAGCCAGGCTCTGCCAATCTGGGTGGCCGCTCTCGTGCCTTGTGAAATTGCTGGTTCTTTATAACCGGCTTCTCTGGAAGTCCCTCTGCATCATCTAACTGGCCCATGGGCTCCGCAGTCACAGGATGAGGAAACGTGGTTAGCAGGAAGGAGCCTCCGCTGCATCTGCCCAGAGCTTTCCGAGCAGGTGGCTTCCCTGAGAACTCAGCGATGCCTTTTCCTGAGGGCCTTCCTCGAGCATCCACAGTCACTACAACACCTGGCCAAACACAGAAAAGGCTTTTTCCAGCAGTTCGTTGGACACATACTGAGGAAGGTTTCGAATTGTAAGGGATGCACTATGGCAGGCAAAGCGCACACGCAGCTGCTTTCCACGGAGTGGCATATCGTCCAGCTCCACGTTGGCAATGTCCGCTAGGGCTCGTGTTTCCAAGAGGATAAAGCCAAATCCTTTATCCTTATGAATGAAGACTTCGTCTGCCTTTCCGTAGCTCTCAAACAGTTTCCTCATTTCTTCCTCGGTGATGTCGGGAGGAAGATTTCCCACAAAGAGACGGCTTCGTTGGGTGAAGGTCTTCTCTCCTGGTTTCCTAAAATTCTTCAGGCCAATAGTCAAGCCTTCGTTTTGGCTGCCGGCCTGATGCCCATTCGCAGTTGTTGGCGGTGGTGGCTGCTGCTGTTGCTTCTGGTGGTGATGTTGATGATGCTCCCTTGGAGTGTGGTTTTGCTTCTCCAAGTTGAAAGTTTTATTACTCTGCATTTTTGCATCCTCAACTCCGATTGAAGACAGAAAAGCGCCTCCCAGTCCCCTCTAACCTCGACTTCTCCTCTACTGACTGATCTCTTCTCGGAGTGACGGGGACGCTCCACAGCCTCTATCATCCCGAGAAAAAAAGCAAATTTACTCTTTTTAGGTATACAGTTCAATGAGTTTTGGCAAACATACACAGCTGTGCAACCCTCACCACTATATATCAATATATGGACTATTTCTATTACCCCATAAAGTTACCCAACCTTCTCCCACATCTCCAGACAAACTCTACCTTTCTTTCTGTCCCAAATGGCATGTAAACAGAATCACAAAATATGTAGTCTTTTATATCTTAAAAAAAAATTCAACCTAAGGCTTTTGAGATTCATGCATGATATTGGATAAAGTGGGAAACCATTCTTGAATTCCTGGGATAAGTTTATGTGTGGTTCCCATGCATTGCTGCAATCAATTTGCAATAGTTAGAGCAGAGTTAATCTGTTCACATTCATGAGTTTAACTTGTAATTGTTATTTCTCATACTATTATTTTCTGGTTTTGGCATCAAAAATAAACTCTCCTTAATAATTAAGTTGAAGAATATACTGTAAAAGAGATTCCGTAATATGGAAATTTTCTTTTACTGAATACTTAGAACTTGCACATAAAAAGATCTGGGCCTTGTGGTTTCTTCATAAATGAGATGATTAAGTATGTAATTACATTATTTAATGATCTATTTACAAATGTTTTAAAAAATCCTTCATTTTGTGATTCTTCCCTGGTCTCATGGCACAGCAGTTAACACAGAAGACTACTGTGACCACAAAATGTGTGGGAATTTCTCCCCACCAGCAAGGGAGCAATCAGTTCTGTAGCAGACATAAGCTGGGTGTCCGCCAATTCGGTTCTATTTTTGTCTACCTGGACATAGCCTCAGATCCCACATGGTGAGGACTTAATTCCACAAAATCTCCTTCTTGCCCGTTCCAAGTCTGGGCTTCTGGAACTTTCGACTGAATGGCTTCAACTTGGGATTCCCATAACCTCCTCTTTGGGTTGGATTACTTTGCTAGAGTGGCTCACAGAACTTGGAGAAATACTCATTATGTTTATCGGTTTCTTACAAAGGATAGTTTAAAGAGCAGGAATAAACAGGCTGATGAAGAGATATGCAGGGTGAGGTCTGGATGGGCCCCAAGTACAGAAGCTTCTGTTCTGTCAGCTGGAGTCGGGGAGGTCCATCTTCCTGGCTCATGGATGCCTTTCCTTCAGTCTCCACATGCTCAGCTATCAGGAAGCTCCTTAAATCCTGTCCTCTTAGGATTTATGAAAGCTTCATTACATAGGCATGACTGATTGAACCATTGGCCATTGGTGATTAATTTGACCTTCCTCTCTTCTCCCTGGAGGCTAGGGGTGGGGCTGAAAGCCTTCTCTCTCTACTCATGCTTTTTTCTGATGATCAGCCCTACCCTGAAACTACCAGTCAACATTAGCACGAAAAAGCGCTTTGAAGATTTCAAGGATTTTAGGAATTATATACCAGGAAACATGGACAAAGACCAAATACATATTTCATAATATCACGAATATATAACAATATGCTATGAAATTATCTGACATCTCTTATCATAGGATCATTCAGTTTTTCTAGTAGTTTCAAAGTAATTTTGTGGTCATTTTTAATTTTTCACAAATTTGATGAATTTGAATAAAACTTTCAAATTCATTGTCAGCAGAAAGCAATGATAGTCACATGTGGCTTCTCTCTGATGACCCACAGCTTCATCAGAACTTCAAGGTCATCTTGCTACACACCTCGGGAACTTTTGCCACAATACTGATGACTTTCTCCAATATTTCCCAGTTGACCTAGGTTCTAGTGCGCGTTGGTCAGCAGAAGTGCTCAGCCCCTATTGTCTTCTTGAATGTTGGTGCTTTCATAATGACTGAGTCTAAATGAGTCACGTTTTAACATTGAGATAATTGAAAAACAGCCCTGAGCATGAACATAAAATAATATAGTCATTAAACGTAATTTATGTATGTATAGTGACAAGAACAAACTATTGAAGTTCATTGTTATCCAAAAAAAGAATACTTTTAGTCCTGTTATTACTAAATATTGTGTTGTTTTTGAATGCTTATTTTATAACTTCCATCCTGAGATGTCTTTATTTTTTTTGCCTGTGTTTGGATGTTAAATATTTTTGAAGGGGAATAAAAGGTGTTAATTTCTTTGGCTAGCTTGTTGAAGAGTCTTTGGAAATTCTGACTCAGTGTACTAAGAGCAGTGTGCTGAATTCACATCCTCAGCTGGGCAGGAGCGTGCTGAGACAACTATGGTTCTGATTAAAGGAACCACAATAACTGAGCAAATGAGCTCAAATGAATGGCTTAAATATTGTTTGTGGTTGGCAAATTAGATATACACAGGCAAGAAAAATGTTTCTATACTTTTCTTCCACAATTATGCTCAGTTTGTTGAAATATTTCCCATAAATAAGAGGATTGGGCCTCTCAAACCTGGTTTCTGATTTTGGCAAAATAAATTTGCAAATAACCTTGATTCTAGGGCACACAATTCCAAATCAAAGCTATTTACAGTGTAATTCGGCAGACTGCAATCCAAAATCATGGCTTCTTAGAATTCATCATCCCAAAATGTTAAAGAAAAGAAAAATGCGTTTTCATTTTCTTTTTACAAACTTTTCTTTTAATTGGAAATTCCTAAATCCTTTTAGATATAGCGTAGAAAGAAAAAAAAAAAAGGAAAAAAAAACCCAAAACTCATTAGAAGAGAAACTGTATCAGTCAGGGTCCTGGCAAAAACAGATGGCACACTCAAATTGGGTAATTTGAGGAGAGTTTAACAAAGAGACTTGTTACAAATGTGTGTGCCGAGCACAGTTGGCGGGGGGTGCGCAGTGCTCTGGGGCACCCCGGGCCTGATGAGCAAAGGGCCCAAAAGCAAACCAAGATCCCTAGCATGTGCGAGCTGTGTGTTGGGCATCCATCACCTCCTTGGAAGCTGGTCGCTAGTCCATAGGACCCTCACCTCACTCTCCACCCTGCACCATCCTTCTGTTTCTTGTTAGGGCTTCCTGTGGCCTGCGCTCAACTGGAAGCTAAAGGCCATGGGATCTATTCTTACTGATCGCGCTCCCAGAGCACACAGCATCTATGGATCGAAGGGGCCAGTGGATGGTGCCCGTCAGTCTGTTCCGCTGGTTTCTCAGCCTCCACTGCTGTCCTTCATCCAGGTCAGAAGCCAATGTCCTCAACACAGGCAACCCAGAAAATCCCCTCAGCTAGGATATTGTCATGGGGAAATGTCGATATGACGTACTCCTGCCTAAAGCCTGAAATATTTGCTGCAACCAGGGGCCTGTGTAAGGCAGCAGAGAATGAAAGCAAGGGAGAACACCATGCATCAGAGCTGGCACTCCATGGCCTCTGCTGCGCGCCTCATCACCGTCGTCTTCCTCCAGCCTCTCTGTATTCTCTTTATGCTCTGCTAGTCTGCATCTAGCAGGTCCTTTGCCTGGAGGGATGACACACATCTTCTTGTAGCCGGGCCGTGAGGTCTAGGGTGTCTAAGCTTCACCAATGGCCACAGTTCGCTACTGACAAAGAATCTCCTGGTTCTGGTGTCCTTAGTCTTCCTTGCCCTCATATCTGATCAGAGAGTAGCTCCTTCTCTGTCTGCTGGTTTGGTGATCAAGGGTCCAAAAGGCCACAGAAAAAGTCTCTGCTTCCAAATTGTTGAATCATGACTGCGTTTCTTAGCGAAACATAGTTTGCTTGGGCACAAAACCTCTGAATCTAATAAGGCTGAGATTCTGGAGACTCAAGTCAAATATCTCTCAGACATTTTAGTAACCAGGAACAGGTCTGCCTCCATGGCTCAGTTTTTGAGTCTGGCCGTGGGTGACATGGCACCATGCTTAGCCTCTGGTTAAGGGATCCACTGTGTCCTCTAAGACGGTGCCCAGCTTGGCAGAATGCGGTCTCCCGACTGCTATCACAACCGAGCTTTCAGCATCTGGGATAAAGAGCAGGCTCTGAGAACGCTGAATTGCACTGCCACACGTGCTTCACCAGAAAACGAACTTCTGGAACAGACGCAGTGTGGGCAGGACCACACGAAGATGGATGAGACGTTCCGTGGGACTGTGAGTGTGGCACTGGCAGAAGTGGAAGCAACGGAGACCAATTTCTACCAACGGTGTGTCTGCCCTTGTGAAGAGAAGTCAGTCATCTCTCTTTGAGGAAAGGAGTCCAAGTTAACAACTTGCCATCAGGCAGCAGGCCGGTTGCCTGCCTGTGGGAAGTCACACTCTGTGGTTGGTCAATTGTCCACACTACAGCAGGGGTCAGCCACGTGACCGCTGGAGAGGGAGTCCAGGACCCATGTCCTTTGTGTACCAGCCGAGCAGCTGAGGTGAACCGGGATGTGATAGGCTGCTCAAGCAGTTTTTAAACATTCAGTGGGAACATTTAGCTTTCAAACTCTCTAGAGAAATGGAGTTTTATTTTGGTTGATGGTCTTGGTGAGGCCAGTGGGAAGGGGAGCATTTTCCAGGGGCTTCCATACAGCCTTCTCTACTAGATTAGTGTTTAATTTATTGACCATAAACAAACAAACAAACAAACAAACAAACAAACAAACAAAACAAGGGAATTCTCTCAGTAACTGAGTCTAGTAATGAGTCTATTATCTTTACTGTATTTTCAGAGACTGGAGCAGCACCACAGAGTGAACCCCCAGTCCTTCTTGCTCCACTGTGAGAAGGACACAGGTCACGGTTCCATTTGTCACCTGATCTTCACTGTGCGACGCTGGCCGGGAGCCACAGCAACCATCTATGTCTCCAGGGGCATAGATGGTGAGCTAGAGTCAGAGTCAGATCAGAGCTACTGTAATTTGAGAAGAGTTTAATAAAGAGACTCCTTACTAATGTGTGGGCAAAGGACAGACAGGGGTTTGCAGTGCTCTGGAG